AGAGACTCAGAGTATCAAGGTTCCTACCAATCCAGGGCAAAGGTCATGATACGTCATCTCAATAAACTGGGTATAGTAGTGTATGCTTGTGATCTCGGGTTGGAGGCTAAACATAAAAAGGCTGCTAGCTGAGGCCTGCCCCCAAGCAAAACACAAGACCCTATGAGCAAAAAAGGGCCAACAAACTGACATGAACATATAAGGGGGACTACTACTAGGTGGGGAAAATAAAAGAGGGTAAGAGGAGACGAAGGACATTTATGCAGGTATGAAAAACTCATAATGAAAACTGTTAAAAATCTGCAAGAAAGCTTAAAAAAGGTGAAGATATTTTGAACAATTAATTTAATTATGAAACTAAAACATGTCTTGGAAGGATGAAGGGTGGGGGGCAAAAGGACAGGAGTGGAAGATTAGAAAGAGGAATGAAAAGTGGGCAAATACAGACATAATGCAACATAAAGAAAATGGAAGTAGGGAAAGAAGGTGATGGAGTTGGAGTAGAAGGGAGAGTAGAATGATGGAAGAGGTGACTGATCAAGATGCATGTACACATAAATGGGTATGTTAAGTTGAACCACCTTGCACACTACTTGAAGATAATAAGAAAGAGGGGCTTTGGGGGGGATGGTGATACGAAAGTAATAGAGGGGTCTATGGCATCAAGGGGTATATGGAAATATCACAACAAAACCCTTTGAGCAATTAAGATATACTAATAATAATTAAAAATAATTTCCTCTATTGAACTTTACTGACTTGCAAGCAAGCAACTTCCTTTTCTTTCTCGTGGTCTTGCTCACCTTGCTTGCTCTGTTGACATTCTATCACTTGACTCATGTCCCAAGTCCTTCTCTTTGCTTGTTATTTTGGAGGAGGTATCTATGGACTTTTCTTCTTGGGCTGGCTTCAAACTTTGATCTTCCAGATCTCAGCCTCTTGACTAAATAAAATTGTAGGTGTGGGACACTAGCCTCCCACAAAACTTCCTAATTAGGAATACTTACATTAAGTACTACCAATTTTGTCAACTTTAAAGCTGTAGGATAAAAGTATCCTGTAAGGAATTATGTAACCCTGAATATCCATTATGATTCAAAGGATGTTTATTAAATAATTCACTTTTATTCAGCCTGACACATCATTTTGCTTACCTGCGTTTGTTTTTTTGTTTTTTGGGTTTTTTTGGTGGTCACAGGGCTTGAACTCTGGGCCTGGGTGCTGTCCCTGAGCTCTTCAGCTCAAGGCAAGCACTCTACCACTTGAGCCACAGCACCACTTCTGGTTTTCTGGTGGTTAATTGGAGATAAGAGTCTCAGACTTTTCTGCCTGGGCTGGCTTTGAACTGCAATCCTCAGATCTCAGCCTCCTGAGTAGCAAGGATTATAGGTGTGAGCCACTGGTGCCTTGGCTTGCTTACCTGTTTTTTAAATAAGAGGTCCATACAATAAAAACCATTACACTGGACTGGACATCAGCACTAGCATGACTAAACTCAAATGGGTGTGATAAAATAGTAAAGCAGATCAAGATTGTACTTATGGCTCGTGCATTTTATTTTATCATGCAAAAATAGCACATTTTAAATTTCTCTCAGAAAACTCTCAGAATGGGCACTATTCTGAGAAAGAATGTTATAACTGTCTCCAACACTAATTCTGTTCTAGTTTTCTAGTTCAGTTATAGCTTAGAAAAGAATTATGTTAACTCCCATGGAAATTGTTGCTCAATGGCTAAATTTGCATGATAATAAACACTACTTATTACTAAAATAATAGACGAAGCAAACAGTGCTGGGAAGCTTTAAAAAGGAAAAGATGAAAGATGAAGAAAAAAGCACTAGAATTGGATATTTATAGCAAAAATGATCATATTTGACCATAGTAGTATATAAACATAATGGAGTGAAACATGTTCATATAGAATAAAATCTACCCCAAAAAGCAACTTTACCCTTCAATTAATATTTAATTAGCAACTACTTAACCAATGACACAGTTATTAACTTAAGTTTAGCTCACAGATCTGGCTAACAGAACTAAGATTCAAAATTTTCTCCAAAGTCTATAATTTTTCTACTTTAAGTCGAAAGCCAGTCAAGATATCAGCCTAGCTAGAGAAATTATACATTGCCTTCAGTTTTATAATGTACAGAGAAAGAGTAATTTTTGAAGATTTCTCTAAACTACGAGAAGCAATTATACATCTTTTTCAGTTCCAACACATACCCAAAGGACCAAAGAGATGAGAATACTTATTAAGACCTTAATATAATCTCTAAAGAAAGGGGCTCTGTGGCTCAAGTGAAGAGTGCTCACCTTGAGCTGAAGAGCTGAGGGACAATGCCCAAGCCCAGAGTTCAAGCCCCACTACCGACAAAACAAAACAAAACCTCTAAATTCTTTCAAAAACATTTAGTTTGTAATGCACACTACAAATAAATAGAAGCTGTGTACATTATGAAACATGAAAACATTAACACCCCAAAACATGACCACATAATTCAGTAACTAGATCATTGCCTTTAGGATTGTGTATGCCTACTTCTCCCAAAAGGCAACCATTGAATTTTGTTAACTGTTACTATCCTGCCTTTTTTCCACAATGACTATAGGAAATACATTTATACTTATCCCCATGTAATATTGTTTGATTATCCTTAAGCTTTATAAAGTCAATATATTATATGTAGTCTTCCACAGATTGGTTCTTCTATTCATGACTTTAAGATTCATCCATCTTGTCTGTTGCCATTGGATATTTACTCTTTCCCATTTATATTCATGTAGGCCACACATATTTCTCCCTTATTTTAGTATTTTCTTGCCAGGTTTCAAGGAAATTAGAAAGGATCCAGATCACCCTTTCCCATTAGTTAAATTATATATTTAGCCTCAAAAGTATATATCCAGACAGGTGTGGTGGCTCATGCTTATAATCCTAGCTACTCAGGAGGCTGAGATTTCAGGGTCAAAGTTCAAAGCCAGCCTGGGCAGGAAAGGCTGGAAGACTCTTATCTCCAATAAACCACTCAGAAAACCAGAAGTGGCACTGTGGCTCAAGTGGTCGAGCACTAGTCTTGAACTGAAGAGCTGAGGGACAGCATCCAGGTCCGACAAAACAAAAAGCAAAAAACCAAAACAGCAACAACAACAACAAAACTACATACCCAATATCACTTAAAAATGACCCTAAATTCATACATAACTTGTCATCATGACAATTTGTGCTAGTTCATTTATAATCTCACTGCTTACCACATTTTAAGACTATTATTAATAATGAAGATCCACTATTAAAATGGCCATTATGCTTCATGCATTAACAAACTGTTCTTAAATCACTTTGCTAAAATTATTAATTTAACAAAATTAAAGATTAATGTCCACCTCAACTTTGTTTTCATTTTTCTTTTCTTTTTTCTGCTTCTGTGGTGCTGAGAAATGGAACCTAGGGCCTCATGCATGCAAGTCCAGCCCTCTACCACTGAGCCACCTTCCCAGCCTGTTTTCATTTTTCTTGTTGGAATATATTTGTTTTAAATTCCCCTAATATACATCTACTGATACGTTAAGAAATTAGTTACCCCAAACTTCAATTTTCAATAGTTTTTGTTTCTCTAAAAGAACATTAATTCAGCTGTTTGTTAAGCAAATACACACCAGTTTTTCTTTTTTTGTCGGTCGTGGGGCTTGAACTTGGCAGACCTTTATTGAGTAAGCAGATAAGAAGACAAGCAGACAAGCAGGCAAGCAGAAAGGACTCCCATGGGTGCTCCAAGGGAGTCACAGAGCTTTTTGATATCAGGGGTATGGGCTCAGGGCTTCCCCAGTTGACCTGTACTTTAAACTTGTGACCATTATGTTTGGACATCCCTTTCAAGAAAAAATGCACTCTGCCATAAAACAGATTTTATCCTTGAGATAAAAAATATATCCTGACACATCTTTTATCTTTGAGAGAATGCATCCTGTCACAAATATTTATCCTTTGAGTTAGGCACTTTTTGTCAGAAGAAGCCATCTCCCAAGTATATATGTCTTTCTTTTTTTGCCAGTTGTGAGGCTTGAACTCAGGGCCTGGGCACTGCCTGAGCCTCCTTTTGCTCAAGGTTAGTGCTCTACCACTTGAGCCACAACGCCACTTCTGGTTTCGGGGATTTAACTAGAAATGAGTCCTATGGGGACTTTCCTGCTGGGGCTGGCTTCAAACCTCAATCCTTAGATTTCAGCTTCCTGAGTAGCTAGGATTACAGGTATGAACCACCAGCGCCCTGATCATGTCTTTTTAAAAAATGATATCCTTCCTTGGTTTTTAGGACACATTAATATTTTTGGGGAGGGGGGCATTAGGCAAGGTGAGATGAAGGTTGTTCTTGCTCTTTTCTTTTTCCTTGTGCTAATAGTGCAATATGTAGGAATGCATGGGGTAAAAACAAAGAAGGGGCTAGGAAGGTGGCTCAGTGGTAGAGCGTTTGCCTTGCATGCATGAGGCCCTGGGTTCAATTCCTCAGCACCACATAAGCAAAAAGAAAAAAAGCCGGAAGTGGCGCTGTGGCTCAAGTGGTAGAGTGCTAGCCTTGAGCTAAAGAGCTGAGGGACAGTGCCCAGGCCCAGAGTTCAGGCCCCACGACCGGAACCCCCCCCCCCAAAAAAAAAAAAAAAGAAAAGATAAAAGGTATTACAAATTGTACGAGACATGTTTTAATTTCCTCCAGTCCCATTCTCGGTATATTAGCCTTATTTGAATTATTTCAATTGAGACTACCTAAATATAGTCAGCAGGCTATAAACTGTCAGAAGGTGTGGAGAAACAGAATTAAAGTGAACAGGAGCTGGAAGAGGGTAGAAAGGTGGGCTGAGGGCAATCACTGGGAACTGTCAACTGAGATGTTTCTAGGAAAAAACAACAGGAAAACGAAAAGGCTACGGGTTCACTTTTTTGCTCCAAGCCACTCTATCCCCCTCCCCAACAACAATATCTGTAGAGGCGATACCTACGGCATTTCGGGGCTCAGACACACACCACCACCGCAGCTGCATAAAACGAACTAATCGACCTCTTCTGAGAACTGAGACTCCGCCAAAGCAGAACACCAAACCTGAAAAAGCGCGGGCGCATCCACCCTGGCCACGGTGTGACCCCTAACACTGCACCCCTGGAAACTACATCCGCGCGAGCCAGGCACGGAGTAGGTGTGAGCAAAGGGGTGTGTGGGCCCAGAATCACATCCGTCCCTCCTTGCCGACAGAAATGCCAGACCCTCACTCAGTGCTGACTCGGCGCCCAACAACCACCCCCGACTTCAGTCGTCGGAATACAAGGAACTGAGTGCTTGCGCTCTGGATCAATGCTCCCTACATTTCTACCCGGACCGTTTAGGGGTAGTGCGCTGGATGTTACTTCCGGTGGTGGCGCGCTGGGAGGAGTGGAGCGCCGTTTCCATGGTAACGAGGTACGGCCTCTGCGTGTCCTGCTGCGGTGTGACCCTCGCGGAGTCGCCGCGGAGGATCGGTTTCGCGGCGTGGTTTGTGAGGTGGAGTTAGGTAGCCGACGGCTTGGCGTCTCGTTCTGTGCAGGGGGCGGGGGTCCCTCCTCGCGCAGCTTCCTCCTCTTCACTTCCTTAACTTCCCTGGCCTACTAACCCTTGGCCCACGCAAGCTGCGCGGCCCGAGGAGCGCAGCGGAGGCCGCGCCGCCCCGGACGCGCTGCGGACGCGCCTCCCCGCGCGGGCACCGCGGCTCCTGGCGCGGTGTTCGCTTGGCTTGTTGTCAGCCGTAGGCGCTTGTTAAGTTTATTTTTCCTGCTGTTGTGGGCCCGGTTATTTATGGAGCCGTTTGCTGCCGTGTACTCTCTAGGCCCCTGTCTGGGTCTCGGGCTGGAGTTTTAAAATAAAGGAGGCGTTCTCAGCCTGAGGGGATGCAATAATGCATTTATTTAAGCTTCAGTTTAGTCTCTCTTCGTAGGAAAGAGAAAGACTAGAATTCTGGAACATTTCTGCCCTGGGGATTTCTTATTAAGAAGGAAGTGTTTGGGAAGGAGTGTTTGAAGATTTTTTTTTTTTAAACCCCAAATCCCAAAACGTTTACATTTAAAAAAAATTGCTCACTATAAAGTGGATTTTATTCTTTCATATTGGAACAGTTGCCTTTCACATTGGGGAGGAGATTGCTTTGCACGCATATGTGTTTAAAACTGATGCTTAATTATAGTGACACCAATTTGTAGTAACCAGACTGTGACACCACATCCCTGTAGGGTCCTTCTAAATCTGGTGTAATATGGAAGTGTCAGCCTGGCGGTCTGTGTATTATAAATAGGGTACTTCATCCATGATAAGCGATTATTATCTTTCTTTCCCAAGTGTAAAAGACATATATATAATTCAAGAAGGTGCCAGTGATTTAGGCCTCTTGAGTAAGAATCCAATGAGTCCTGAAGGGGACTCTACCTATGTCATCTTATTGTTGAACTTGAAACATTCAATTTCTTAGGTTGAAATGTGTTGTGTGAAGCCAGAGCAGAATAAAATAATGTTGGAAGCCGTGAGACCACTTGCACAATTTCGTTCCTCATAGTAATCAGTAAACCTTCATCCGCATTAACAAGGAAGAAACTGAACTGAAAATTTCTGCCTCTCACCATTTACTACTAGTTAGGTGATATCTTGGGCTCTCAATTTCTTTATCTGTAGACAAAAAGTACCCGACCACTGGGGTAAAACAAGATGGATGGCAGTTCATTAAGGTCTTATGAGTGTTAATGGTTTATATGAACCCCAAGTTTTATTATTAGTAAAGGAACATGGTAAAGCCTCATGACAGTTTTGTAAATGGGACTTTAAAAATTCAATTATTTGCCAGGCGCCGGTGGCTCACACCTGTAATCCTAGCTACTCAGGAGGATGAGATCTGAGGCTCCAGTTTCAAAGTCAGCCCAGACAGGAAAGTCTGTGAGACTCTTATCTCCAATAAACCATCAGAAAACTTGAAGTGGAGCTGTGGCTCAAGTGGTGGAGCACTAGCATTGAGCTGAAGAGCTGAGGGACAGCGCCCAGGCCCAGAGTTCAAACCCCACAACCCATACACACACAAAAAAATCAATCATTTGAAATGTGACATCACTTATTAAGATGTTTATGAAATGATTTCATTGATCTTGCTGTAGAAGATGGATGCCACCTGCAATTGATTTACACAAATATTCTTGGAGTGTCTCACTATAGTTTATTTAGCACCTGTTAGGTATCAGGCAGTGTTCTACATGCTTCACATATACTGTCTGATTTAATTTTCAGCTCTGTGAAGGGCCCCATTCGACTGTCTGTGATTTTGGGAAAGCAGATGTATGTGTTCCCCTTGTCCTGATTCTTATTTTGTATTATGTTACATCTTTATTCTTTTGGCTACTATTGCACATTTCAAGAAAAATTATATGCATGCATGTTATATATGTTTTATGTATGTATGTTTTATGTGCTATGTATGTATTATGTACTAATTAGAATTAGTAGCCAAAGATCGATTCTGTTTAACATATGTTAAATTTATATTGATTCTATAACATCCATCTTTTTTTTTTTACATATAGGAACATTAATATCTTGGTCTCATTTTAAAATCTTCACTCATTTGAAAGGCACAATGACCTTTGCATTTTAGGTGGTTATCATCGACTAAAACAATACTGAAACTGTTTTCTAATAGAATGGCCATCAGTCCAGGAGGAGATACATCTTTTTCCAGTCAGAAACCAATAATTTCGGAGAGTCTTAGAACCAAGAAGTCTTCGCTAACTGAAGAAGAGATATTTTATATGAATTGTAGGGCTGCCTATCTAACTGTGTTCAAAAGCAGCTTGGAAAACATTGTTTCAAAAGATCAACTTTACCTAGGTAAATTCCATAAACCGAATATTTCACCTTATTTGTTCAAAGTGATAGATAAGAAAAATGGGAATTAGAGTTATATCATTCAATCATCACTATTTCATAGTGAAACTTTACAAAATGAAATTACAGTATGGCATACCCCTTTTGTAGAGTTTTTCTATTCTAGGACCTTTCAGGTGTAAATTTCAATTTTTAGACAATTTAGATTCATGTAATGTATATTTTTATGTACATTACATGGTGTAGGCAAAAATCCAATTAAAATTTCAATTTGCTGTGATTCCTAAAATATCCAAGTGTATTCTTTTGCAAATGGGCAGAGATCATAAATCTGGTAAGTTTAAAGTTTAACATGGCCTTCCACTGCTATGGCACTTATAAAATCAATCAATATATACTTATAAATCAACCAATATGTACTAAAAAGGTTCTGTCCATCTAAAGCCAGGTGCTTGTGGCTCATGCCTGTAATCTTAGCTACTCAGGACCTAAGGATCGCAGTTTATAGCCAGCCCAGTCAGGGAAGTTCTTGAGACCCTTATTTCCAGTTAACCACCAGAAAACCAGAAGTGGCACTGTTACTTGCACTAGCCTTGAGAAAAGAACTCATGGACAGGACCCAGGCCATGAATTCAAGCCCCATGACCCCCACTCCTAATCCCCCCCCCAAAAGGTTCTGTTAGTCTAATAAAATTATCTGGGAAGATATCAATTCAGTGTTTGTCTTTTAGTGCTGTATACACCTTTGATTTTTATGGTGGAATATTTTGTGTAAAACTTGGGTTTCAGATAACCTAGTTTTTAAAAAAAGGACTAATGTATACCAATGATGTCTCTTTCTTACTACAGTGTTTCGTTTGTATCCTTTCCTTAGGCACCTAACATAGACTCTGACATTTCCATTTCAAAGTCAGAGCAGCATCATTACCAGAGCTTTAGAGTATCTTTTTTGTTGTTAACTATAAATAATACAAGTATCATATATACATGTCCAAGTTTAAAGGAAATCCTGGCAAAAGATCAGTATCTTTGTGCCAACCTTGAAAACATTTACAGTTATGTTTTCACTATCACTAAATTTAATTAACTTCAACTCATCTTGAACTTTAAGATTAGTTATTAATAACTAGATCATATCAATATTTTAGATATAGAGATGTTTACTTACTGAATACATATTGAATACATAATTTTTCACAGTTTTTTCATAATTATAATGCAGTATTTACAAAACAGTGTTTTCTGGCTGGAAATGTGGCATAGTGGTATAGTGTTTGCCTAGCATGCATGAAGCCCTGGGTTCTATTCCTTAGTACCACATAAACAGAAAAAGCCAGAAGTGGCGCTGTGGCTCAAGTGGTAGAGTGCTAGCCTTGAGCAAAAAAGAAGCTCAAGGATAGTGCCCAGGCCCTGAGTTCAACCCCTAGGACTGGCAAAAAAAGAAAACAGTGTTTTCTTTGTTACTGAACATAGCAACAAGCTACTCTGACCTGCTACATACCCGTTTTCCCAACACTTGACAGAAAATATTTTAATGTTGACTTTCAAATTATAGCTTCATGTAGGTTCTACTTGTATTCCAAACTCTTAAAGGGTTAGAGGTGGCTGATGTGCCAAGCATATATTGATATAACCAGATTGTCAGCGCCAAAGCACTAAATATATGGGATTCACATAATATAATGGTATATAATGATTTAAAAGAGCATGCTTAAATGCTAATTCCAAACACTACAATAACAAATAATTCTTGTTTTATGGCAGCTCTTCAGCATGCAGGAAGAAATCCATCCCAAAAGACCATTAATAAATATTGGACTCCTCAAACTGCTAAACTGAACTATGATGATTTTTGTGTAATTTTAAGGAAGGAGAAACCTACTTCAAAATCAGAACTGCTAAAATCATTTAAGCAATTAGATGTAAATGATGATGGCTCTATTTTACACACGGACCTTTATAAATTTCTAACAAAGGTAAGATCTGTGAAACTATAATGTGTGTATTTGTGAAACAACTTGGAATCTAGCGTTGGTTAACAAAGGTCACATAAAAAGTATTTCATTGATAGATTAAACAAATCACCTACATTTTATTTATAAAGTACTTAAATGCTCTTATGGATGAAATGTGCTTTGTAAATAAAAATACAAAACTGAGTCTGCATTGTAAATCACCTTATGCAGTTTTTCTCCGGACTTTTTGGAAGTTACTGATAGGTCCTTATGTGATAAGGAAAAGGAAAGTATAAATGGGGTTACAAGTCCAATCTCTTTTTCAGCACAATGTTAGAAAATACCATTATTGTAAATTCAGTACCATTCCATGATATGCAATTGTTAAATTTTAGTAAATTGAAATTCAGCACATTTTCTCAAAAATGTAACAAGATTATCATTGTTGCTCCATGTAGTTCTCACTCTGGTTTATAACGACACCATATATTCAAACTTACCTGAAGAAGAAATTTAAATGTATTTTTACTGTCCCCATAAGTAAGGAAGTAGTAATTATGTTGTTTTAAAATACGTATTTTTGAAATTTTAGAGAGGTGAGAAGATGACTCAGGAAGAAGTAAATGCCATAATAAATTTGGCTGATGTAAATGCTGATGGCAGATTTGACTACATTAAGGTACATAAGCTCTAATATTATAAGTTTCCATACTGTACAAGAATTTTAAAATTTTACTTTTTCTAGGTTTATTAAGGTACAATCAGTACAAACTGTATATTTTTAGTGTACATATAATGTTTTGATGTGCACATAGGTTGTGGAATAATTAAATGAAGCTAATTAACATGAGAAAAAAGGTTTAGTTTTGTTTGTTCTTGATGCTGGGGATTGAATCCAGGGTCTCTTGCATGCAAATCACATGCTCTACCACAGAGCTACACCTCCAGCCCTTATTTTTAAAATGGGCACTTCCTTTTTATACTTATGAGGACATAGTTGTATACTGTGCACAATTATCTTTAAATGTATGCTTGTCAGTCCCATAATTGTGATCAGATGACCACATTAAAAATTACACAAGATGAGCATCCTCTAATCTGAAAGTCTATCAGAATTCTTCAAAATCCACAGTTTTGAAACTTTCTGAGTGTAGACATGCCATAAAAGTAGAATATTCCTATGTCCTCATGTGACTGATACAATCAAAGCACAGGAATACTAAAAATATTGTATGAAACACCTTCAGGATTTGTGTATAAGGTGTATGTGAAACAAGTGAATTTTGCATCTATGTCTGGCCATATCTTACTACATATATGCAAACACTCCAAATTTAAATAAAGTTCTCCAACACTTTTAGACTTAACATTTCAGCTAAAGGCTGTTCAACCTATAGAAGTTAAAAATACATATGTCCTTAAACACAGCTTTGTAAACAAATACAGATACTCTCCTCAGTAATGTTCCTTTCCTGTGTAGAAGAATCATATAAATTATTTAGAACAACTCAAGTCTACATGTCCTCTAAATAAATCACCTCTCCTTGTGTAGCATTTTATTTTCACTCAGAGTATGACCTCCTCATTGAATCATGGCTACGTTTCACTAGGTCACTTGAGGCTGGTCAATCTGACTCAAGAAAATAAAATGAGTAACCAAGTTCAATAAGAAATATATTCCATCTGTCAGTCTGTCCCTTGCCTACTAATGTGCATTTGCCTTCCCCTCCCAAATGTATGACTGAACGTTCTACCTAGTGGACTACTTTTTTATTTTCTATAGTTTTGTAAATTGTATATGACAACCAGTGAGCAATGTCTCAAGAATACACTAGAAAAACTGGAGGTTGACAGTAAACTGAGGCGTCAGCAGTTTGGAAGCCACAATGAAGGGGCCCCTGAGAAGGACCCATCACCAGTACCAAAACCATCACCTAGAATCATAGGAAAAAGTGACCAGGAAACATTATCAAATAAAGGTATTTACTTTCAATGCCAAGACTTTTTTGATCAGAAGTGAAGGGGTATAATCAGAATTTTTCTTTCATCTCAGTTGTCAATGACAAAACAAATTTGAAACCTAACTTTTGTTAGATTCCATTTCTAGACTCTTAGCTGTAAAACTCTATTGTAAGATTTTATTATGGAACTTGATTTGTCTATACCCATTATGTTTTATTAAAACTAAAAATTCAGACTAAAAGGGGACATATTGAAACAAGGAATGTTATTAGTATCATATAAATTAGGGGCTCTGAAAGTCTGATAAATAAAAGTAATGTCTTTATTCAATAGGAATAACAGAGAATAAGATGAATGCAACAAATCTTTTATACTATACCATGTTTAGAAACAAACTCCTGTTGACAACCTTTCAGAATGTGAGACCAAATAACTATTGCCTGTTACAGATGATACAAGGAGTTCATTACTCTCAACATCTAGAAAGTTCAAAACATCTGTTTCCTTCACAATTACCATGGGCACCAGTAGCAACCAAAACTCAACGTTAACTGAGCCAAACTTAAAGGTATAGTAAGTATTTTTAATTAACTTTTTCCTGAAAATATTTGACATTAAGTTTGTTAATAAGTATTCAGCATGAATACTTCACAATGCAATAATTTGTGAAGTAATTCTTAGGTTCTTCCTGTGGAATGCATGTATCTACCTACAAGCCAGTTGTCATGTTTTTAACTTAAAAATCATAAGATTAATATTGTAAGACCTTTAGTTTGAGAATGAATAACTTGATAGATTTTCTAATTCTATACTTTGACAACCAATTTTTGTTGTTGTTTGGCAAATGCGTAGGCGTTTTATATAAATTAGTCATCCATTCTACTAGTTCCTGTGAGAGAAAGACAACTAAGTTACTTTGCTAAGTCAATATTTGTAGAGTATTAATATTGATCTTCTTCCTTTGTTTTCCCTTTCTAGACTCAACCTTTACTAGTTTTCTTTCAACAGAAAATAATAGCTACAGAAACATAAAACATTAACTGGAAACTGCTAGGATACATTAAAAATGTGCACCTGGAGACCTCTGTAAAAGGGGGGAAAATGGTTATGACCACATCCTATCACTGCTGCTAGAAAACTGAACTGATTGTTCTCAAGAGCTACATTTTTGTTTCAAATAACAACTCTGTATTTGTTATTGAACTCTGAAGTCCCTTATATCTTTAAATTGCTAGACAGTGACATTTGTTCTATATTAAAATTTTAAAACATTATCTCCAAGGAATTTTGTTCAGACTGCTTAGGAATCTATACACCCTAAGCAATTTGGTGTGCGTGGCCAGCACATTCATACCATATTTACTGTTCCAACAATATTATTTTTCACTGATGGAACCTTTCTATGTTTTACAGCTAAGTTGAATGCTAAAAAATTAACTTAGTTAAATAGTTATAGGCAACCTATAATTATTCAAAACTATAAATAAACCCAGTTTTACCCAACATAAAGACATATATCTGAATATTAATATAGACTATATTCATAATAAGACCTTTGCTCTGTTTGCTTAAATGAGCTTCTACCAATAACAGTGTCTTTAAATTTAGTTAACATATAAGTCAACAAATGACCTTTAGCAAGGTAGTGTATGCCAGCTTTTTTGTTTAGTGTTAATTGTGGCCCTTGAATTAAAAAAATAGAAGTTTTCCTTTGATGGCTAATACCAATGGAGTATTGCATAATATTTCATTTATTCAAATATTGAGTGATTAACTACTCTGTTCAAGGCAGTGTTCTAAGTATTAATGAAGAGCTTTGGATAAAGACAGACTTGAATTTGATTCCTAGCTTTTTGCCTTAATCACTGTGCAAACTCAGTTTATCAGTTTCCCTTCTGAGATTCAGTTTCTTTATCTATATATTGGGAATAATGTTACCTTAATGTGTTTGAAAGATTTAAGTCATTGAACATATGTAAAGCATTTAGCACCAAGAGAACACACACACACACACACACACACACACACACACACACACACTCAAATGAAAATTAGTGCTAAACCTATTATAAACAAAGAAGTAACTGTAGGTATTTATATAGGTATGACCTGATGAAAGTGCAGTTTAAGTTAACTAGTATTGTATTTGGAGACTTCAAATTAGACTTCAAACTAGCTGAGAGACTGACAGCTATTCAGATATGAAGTAACAATAGGTTGGCCTATGATACTACTTGTGTTTTCTAAGGTCAAAGGAATGTCAAAATTATTTGTAGGCCACAGCAGTTGTATAACAAGGGTCCACTTAGGTTTTGTCTCAGCAATCATAAACAGGAATGGTGGTGATGACAACTGGAAAACTATGTCAACCTTTTAATTCTGTGAATTTCATATAAAACTTAAAATCTTTTGGAAATGTTTATATTTCTTACCTTTTTATATCCTGTTTCTGATCTTGATCTTTCAGGATTGTTTACTGTTATTTATTGAATGAACTGAAGTAATTTTTAAGAAATCTATGACTCTATTGTTATTTATCTGGTTTCTGTTCTTTATTTTGAAGCAACTTTAATTTCATAAATTTTATGTATTTCTGAGGTTTTAAAGCTATTCTGGTAAGAATTTCACTGTGAGTAGTTGGGACTAAAGGCATTTACCACCATGCCCACAGCCAGACTTTAAAACATAGTCCCCTTCACTTGATAAAAGACTTGAATTACAGGGAAAAGCAAGAATTTTACAGTGACTATATATGTATCATGTTCTTCTTCCCATATTTAGGTATTAGATTACTACTCTATTCTTTAATCCTGAGCTCTGTCCATTTGCTTAGGTTCTGTAATGTTTGAGGAATGTCAGATATTTTCCTTTAAGAAGGGAATAGCTTCAGATTCCATGATAAAGCCAGTCATGACTAAAATTAGAGTAGGCCACAAACCATCAGTGTAAACTGCAGAGATACAATACTTCCTATATTGATGCCTAATTAGAAACTGCCTAAATATGTTCTACGCATGTATATTGTATAATATATACACACAGCACATAGAAATGTTGTGTAGCTTATTTATGATACACACCCATGCATTGCATGGTGTACATTCTGTACTATCTTAGATGTATGTATGAATGTTTTGCATTCCATATAGATACTTTCTATATGTCCTTCTTTGATAACACAAATACATAAACATTTCAAACTCATGTTTTATGTTTTATGGTTCCTGTCTTAATTTTTGTTTTTTGTTTTTTTGGGGGTCCTGTCGTGGGGCCTGAACTCTGGGCCTGGGTGCTGTCCCTCAGCTCTTCAGCTCAAGGCTAGCGCTCTGCCACTTGAGCCACAGTGCCACTTCCGGCTTTTTTCTTTTTGCTTATGTGGTGCTGAGGAATCGAACCCAGGGCCTCATGCATGCAAGGCAAGCGCTCTACCACTGAGCCACCTTCCTAGCCCCGTGTCTTAATTTTTGTGAAAGTTCAAAATAGTTTTGTGACAGTTTCTTACTTTTACACAATGTTAATCAATTCAATCTTTCAATTAGCAGACAACCCATGCCAATTTTTCCCTAAGTCATCTATTTAACCTTTTGTTTGGAATATTCTTAGTAATAGCAAATTTGGTAACTTCATGTATTTCTCTTAATACACTGACAGCAAATAGTGTTCCATTAAGGATATATAAAATGATGAGGGTGATGTAAGTTCCTCCTCTGACCACATCTGTTCTAGACCTACTACTAATTGTAGTTAGCCTAAAATTTTAAAAATAGTGCATACTTTGTATGTCAAGTATTTATTATAGTGGCCCCAAGGAAAAAGATGTAATGTTACTAATAAATGTGTTTTGACAGACATTTTCTGCTTTACTATTTGCAGTTTTGCCTTTAAATATTTCCTTATACATCAGGAATGAAAATCAGTTAAATTTGCATATGATCAATCTGTTTATGTTTGTATGCATTTACTTAAATTGGTAGAATGTAGCACCACCTTATGTCCAATATAAGAATTACAAGCTATTATGTTATTTCTGCTTTTATATTGTCAAAAATTGTATCATACATGGCATTTCTTACTCTATCATCCTAAAATTTTTTAACCTCCTTCCATTTTTCTCATAATTCTCAAACTGTCAACTTAATCTATAACCCTTTCAAGTTGATTTATTTCAACAAGCCCACTGATTTATCAGTACTTTTTCCTTTTAATTCATAGCATTTTAGTCTGGATGTGAGAGAAAAAGCTTTGTGTGATTGAAAGCATATTTATTTTAAAAGAAAATTTAAGTTTAACAAGCATCATGTGTTTAACAATCGACAGTCTTGAGAAATTTTTTTTTTACAGTGGAGGTTCAATTTCCTATTAAGAATAATGTGAGTGGGCTGGGAAGGTGGCTCAGTGGTAGAGTGCTTGCCTTGCATGCATGAGGCCCTGGGTTTGATTCCTCAGCACCACATAAGCAAAAAGAAAAAAGCCGGAAGTGGCACTGTGGCTTAAGTGGTAGAGCGCTAGCCTTGAGCTGAAGAGCTGAGGGACAGTGCCCAGACCCAGAGTTCAGACCCCACGACTGGATACCGCCCCCCCCAAAAAAAGAATAATGTGAGTATCACACTGCAGGTGTGGTTGGTGTCAGTCATGTGCATTGTCTTACTTCTAGATTAGGTGTTCTACATTTCCCCCCTTCTCACTTATATATAGTAGAGTGATGTATAGTTTGGCAATCTTTCCATAGAAACTCAAATTCTCATCTACTATAGCATTATTTTCTAGAATGGAACTTAGGAAAGATCTTCTAATAAAAATGTTTAAGTCTCCCCTGCTAGATTTTATAAAGCTATCTCCTGTTAACCCATAGTACTATCCCCAGAAGAAGCATTTAGCCTTGGAAAAATCTTTCATCATTGAGTTTCCCAAATGGCACAAATTATGTTCACTATCAGTATACCAAGCAAAGTGCATTACTTTTTACAATTTTACTTAAACAGTGGGGAGCTGCTACACTCATAGTCATAAATACAAGTAATGCTATAACTACTGAAATCAACATTGTTTTAGTAAGAAACCAAAAAATTACATTTACTTAACATTTGTTTAATGATAATGCTTCAGTATGCTTTATTAATAACATAAACAATTTTCTTTAGAAAGCTGGCTTTAAAGATAATCATAGCAAGATTGGGTGTTGGTGGCTCATGCCTATAATACTAGCTATTCAGGAGTCTAAGACCTGAAAATCATGTTTTAAAGCCAGCTCAGGCAGGAAAATCCATTGGACTTTTTAATTAACTACCTCAAAAAGCCAGAAGTGAGGCTGTGGCTCCAGTGGTAGAGCGCTAGCCTTGAGTACAAAAAGCACAGACAGTGCCCAGGCCCTCAGTTCAAGCCTCAGGACTCCTGGCACAGGCATACACACAAAAATCATAGCAGAATCCAGGTGTGGCACATGCTTATAATCTCAGCACGTACACAACCGAGAATTGTGAGTTTGAGACCAGCTTGAGCTACCTAGCAGTGGCTCACATCTGTAATCTGAGCTACTCAGGAGGCTAAGAACTGAGAACTGTGGTTCAA